GACTCAGAATATTCCCTGAACAGTTCTAGAAGTGCAGGTGGGACAGACGGACGTGTAAGGCATTGCTGAGCATCAGCACAACACTACCTGCTGCAGCCAGCGTGGCCATCAGTTACATGGTTGGATAAGGACATGTAGATATTGTTCTTACTATTCTTAGAGGCATAAATGGGTGTATTTACTCTTGTAAATGTACTAAGTGTGCAGAGAACAGGCATATACGTTTCTAGGCGCATCGCTTACATGGACATTACTTATGGAATTTTTTGGCACATGATTCATTGTCTTTACGGATGCAGCCCCTAGGAGCCTGAGAGTCTCAAGCCCAAGCTGCTGACCAGTTCAGAGGGTGAATGCTAAGACCCTGGATGTGCACCACTTTGTTATTAGTGGGAGTATTGCCCTGTATGCATTGAGATGGGCTAAGCCCATAATCAGCCACTGCTGTCATTTAGCATATTTACAGAGTCTGGAGGAATGCATCCCTGTAGGGTTTTTGCATTCTTTTACCGGAATTCTTAATAAGTACACGTAAAAGCTATTATGTAGCATATCTCCCTTCTTCCTGACGGCGTGGGTGAGTGCAGAGGGTGTACCTGGCTGGTGTGTCCCATCAGAATGGGACCATTCTTTCGATGGCCTCCAGGAGCCTCTCCAGGCTGCTCGTAATGACAGGTAGCTTCCCGAGCATTTCAGCAGATGCTTCAGTATGCCAAAAGCAGGAAGCACTTGGGAGGGAGCACACAGAATATTTCAGCCACGTTTCTTCAAATAAATGTCATGTCTTAAATAATAGACGTTTTCCTCACAGGCTATAGAATAACCACCAGTGCTGAAATAACATTTGAGTTACTGGACGTGACGTTTGCAAAAACTCCTCAAAATTCAGTAACTATAATGAAGTTTGGGGAGGGGGTTGATTTTTTTTTTTTTTGCTCGTGTTAAAAATCACCTCACCTCCTTTTGCTCATCATTTTTCAAGTCTGTTTAATTCTGTTTGCCAGATTTTATAGATATGCATCAGGCACACAGTTGGAATCCAGGCAGGCTGGCTGTGCTCATGTCTGTGATAAACCTCAGGTTATCATCTCTGTAGGACTGAATCAGATAGTACCTTGCAGTGGGATGTCGGCTGCGAGGGGTGAAACAGCGCCGTTTCCCTTGCGCTTTTTGCTGGCCGCCGGAGGAAGATGCCTGGTGTTCCGTGCCGCAAAACCATTCGTCCCCGATGCACAGTGCACAGCAATTCCCCCTGGGGAATGGCTGGGATTTACTTTGGCACCCTGTGCCGAGATGAGCAGCAATCTACTGGTGAGAATCAAGCTGTGTTGGTGGGAGAGGGCGTTGTGAAAGCGATGACAGAGAGGCGTAGGAATCCCAGGGAAAGCTTGGTGCTGTGGAGCGGTGGCCCAGCCCGTGCAGCCTTTCCTTCCCTCTTGCGTAAGATGATGTGACACAGAGCTTAGCTGTGATCAGTCCTGTTCTGGTGTTAATTACCAGTGACTGCATCACTTTTGATAGAAGAGTGTAAAACAGGCCCGCAATTAAGTCTGATTTTGATCTTAGCAGCTTCAGACAATATAAAAGCAAATATCATTTAAGACCAGTTCAGATATTTTTAAGTGTTGCTCAAAAAGGAAAAGAGCAGAGTAGTCGGTGGTCAGTCAGAACAAGAGATTATGACCTACTTTCATTTCAAAACCAAAAACACTGACCACAGAGGTCTTACCTGCATAATTGTGCCTGCATCTTTCCGTTCTACTCAACTAGGCAACTGCTGTATCCTCACCTTTATTTGAGAAGGAAAACTCATTCAGAAACATTGTGCACTTGATCCTTACATGCAGCTAAGTCCTTTTACACTTTCACAGCAGGGGAAAGTACAGCTCTTTCCATTTGGAACTGCGTATTGCCAAGCAAAGTATGCTTGGTAGGAAAGGCACATCCTTTATTATGAATGCCACAGCCGAGAGCAGCCTGTGTCACCCGTATTAAGCAGCTGAGTTATTAAGAGAAGAACTTTGGACTGTGTTACACAGTGAAGAAGATAAAAATAGAGTGTCTGACACATGCATCCCATGTCGCATGCCAGGAAACAGAATCATTGCACCACCGAGTACAGTATTCCAGAGCATGTGTGGAAAATATGCATGGATGTGAACACACGAGATCTTTCCTCACCAAGAAAAACACTCAGTCCCCTTTTTCCCCTGTCCCATTTTACATCTGTCTTATTTGATACCCTTTACCTGTTGACAAAACTAACAGCCTAGACTACCACAGTGGTGGCCTTTACTGCCACCGCTCCCCTCATCGTCTTGCCGAATGATGTGGCAGTAATAACGCTCTCATGTGTTTTGAGGGAGCTGGAGAATATCGTCGCTGCTCCCAGCTGAGAGTAAGCAAAATCTTACCTGTTCTCCAGGCATCTGCAGCATGCTGAAGCTCCCAAAGCTCAACGCTGTCTGGCACAGGAATCTTGCGCTGGGTGCATAATCTAAAATCGGTCATCCACAGTATGTGCCCCTTTAGATGTTAAACCTCGCATCGCTTTCTTTTATTGCTTCTGTTGGCATTCACAATTATGTGACAGAATAGAAAATAAATAATGTGATGCAATGGGTAAAACTCAAAGGGAAATACATATTGGAGATCAGATCTCCTACAGCAGAACATGACATAAAACTTACAGTGATATGAGTGCCAATTTTGCCTGTTTCGAGGGCAGCAAAATCAACTGTGTAGTGATGTGTGTACTATACCACTAGTGTGTAGACTTTCTGGATGTTTTTGATACTTCCCAGCTTTGAAAACTCAGGTTTATTCAGTGCTGTAACTACTACTTGTCTTCAGGTGCAGAAGTAGCTGTCAGGGAGTAAGTAACGGGGTAATGGATCCAAAGCAAAGCCCCTCACACCTGTGTGACAGGGCCTTTAAAAAAAACTCAAACATAAATTTAGTATAAACCTCATAAACCTTAAAGAACAATGCAAAACATGCATCTGAGGTTTTATTTATTTTCTACACGTCTTAGGGGAGGGCAGGTGTCCAACGCTGAGGACTTTGGATGTTCCGTTGCCTCCTCGTAGGAAACCTGAGGGAAAAGCACAAGCTGAGACTAAGCAGTAGGTTATGAGATAGAGCAGCAGCCGAGTTCAGATTTAAAGATAAAGCCTGAAATAGCAGAACCCAAATGCAAGACTAACATTTTTTAACCCCTTTGCCTGGATTCAGTAAAACATGGGTACCTCGGTGTGCAATCTTGCTTCTGCTGTACTGAGGTTTGGGTTACTCGCTAGTCTATTTTTACCTTTTAAGAGGCCTTGTAATTCAATATGTGTTTGTTTTAATTTTACACTCTCCATAAAAAGCACTGTCCATGCTTAGTTGGAGAAGTGACTGCGCGTAATGCCTAGAAATTCAATTGGCCAGTGTGTCACGCTGTCTTACTTTTTCCCCCCTGCAAAGCTGTGTGCTGCTCTTGATCAAAAATACCCCGTGATACCTTGCGTCTCCTCCGCCAGCTCAGCTTTGCCGCTGACGCTCTGGAGATGCTGAGGCAGGGTGAGATCAGCCCGGGCCGAATCCGTGTCCCTCCGCCAGCCCTGCTCCCACGTGCGCCGGTGGCAGTAGTGACCAGCCAGGGCTGCAAAGAGAGGAGGACAAGGCGCTGATGAGTGGGATGATGGCTGCCCCACGGCTGCCAGCTGTGCCTGGAGCACTCCTGCGATTGTCTGCCAGCGCCTCGAGCTGCATATCCACCTACGGGGGTCAAAGCCAGAAAGCCCATTTTTGCAGCGTAGCGCTAGTGTTGCTATCTGGAGCTGCGGGATGTGGGTGTTCCGTGTGGGGCTGCACCCAGACACGCAGCACCCTGCTGAAGGCAGTGTGCGGGCTTGGCTCTGCTTTTCTCTCTCCGTCGTTTTGCCGATACCACAGATTTTCAAACTGCCACTAATGTGACGCCACTGATATGGAAGCCCCCCGTATCATATCACACCCCTCTGGCTCTGACCTGCCTTCGTTTGGTGTCTCAGCAGTGCTGAGCAGATAAAATACTATAGTGCTGGAAGTGAGCCTCCTTCTCCTGTCCCTGTGTTATCCCAGCATCCATGCCCTTTAGGTAAGGAATTGCTACACCAAATAAAACAAATTAAGGTTGCTTCTGTTTTCCTCTTGACTCTTCTGACCGAAGTGTGAGATGAAAGATCTGGATCACGCCTGATTAATGGTGGAAGATGTGTCTAGGCACAACGTCCCTCCTTGCTTGCGCGCTGGTCAGCGCGGTACCTGGAGCACTGTCAGTGTGTTGCCATCAGTGTGTTTGATAGCAGTGGGAAGCCTTCGTTGCCTGTGTTTGCACTCATCAGAATTTTGCAGCGCTTAAGGAGCATAAGTGACTCAGTATCTTTGTTCTTAATAGCTGTCAGATGGTAAAATACCCTGGAGAGATGGGTCTTACGTTATTATGAAGTCACAAATTGCTTTTTCAGATTTAAGGAGAGTGAAAGAAAGCCAAACACAAATATCAATAATGGTTTATATGGGTTTCACCGCTTGCTTTCAGCTTTCTTTAGCTTTGAACTTGCACGCACCGTATTATGATCAGTGGTCAACTTCGTCAGATTCGGTGATGGTGAATAACTCGTGCCCAAACCCACCTGAACCATTCATAGCAGAGGAAACTAAACCTACAAAAAAGACGAGCAGGTTTGTTCTGTGATGGTGCATCTCTTGGGATAACCCGTCTTGCCCGTGCTCTTCTCTCCTCACTGTCCAACTACTGCAAGATGACTTATTTTTGAGACTTGGGTTCCAGCAGCGTTAAGCAGAGGTTGGAGCTGTCCCCAGACAGCTCCACCCGTGGTCTCCTTGACACCCGCATGAACCTGGAGTAGTTTCTTCAGGAGATGGTGGGGATGAGGTCAGACTCTGCTCCCGCTCTGTCCCCAGCCTGTGGCAGAAATAACTCTTGTTGTCATCAGAGCAGTCACCGTAACATGGATGAGGTTCAAATCAGGCCCAGTAGCTTCAATGAGATTTTTGTGCGATTATAGCAAGAATTTGACACATATGGTGAGCTACTAGTCGTGTATATGTGATCCGTCTCCACGCTGTCCCAGGAGGTATTTACCAGCATAAAAATCAGTTAGTGAGGGGACGTGCCCCGAGCAGCAGCCTGCTGCTGCACAAGGGATGAGCCGGGACGTGTGGGGATGGATGAGCTGCGTCCTTTCACTTGCAAACTTGGTCGGTTTTGCCACACAGGGTACTGGGAGGGAACACTGGCTTCATTGTGTTTTTCTTGCTGAATGCCATGGCAGAATTTATGCGGAGTTTTCTGTTGACGTGGCAGGAGTGCTCAAAAGCTCACCCCATCTAAAGTGCCTCGGGTTCTTTAGGATAATGAGACATTTTCTGAGTGCACCTTTTTATTGTACCAATATTACGTTACAGGAAAAATGGAAGGGGGGAACTTAACACATTGCACCTGTCACAAGTTCTCTCCTTGAATTAGGCTCTCCTGCTTATAAAAATTTAATTGATTCCTAGCAGTTTATGTGCATGGTACTCAGTGGGTGTTTTCTGTTCTCTTGCCAGCTACATGGTTACTTAGAAAGCGAGCCGCTCACGCTACAGCTGTTCATTGGGACTGCAGACGACCGCCTGCTGCGACCCCATGCCTTCTACCAGGTTCATCGAATCACCGGGAAGACCGTTTCCACCACTAGCCACGAAACAATACTTTCCAATACCAAAGTCTTGGAAATTCCACTTCTTCCAGAGAACAACATGAGAGCAATGTAAGACCCGGGCACCGTATCTGACTCCTAGCAGTTTCCTCTTGGTCACATTGCTTGATTTCTTCTGTGTTGGCTTTGGGTTTTTTTGTACACAATTTTCCTTTTCCTATCTTTTTTGTTTTTTTTTTTTTTTTTTTTAATTCTCTCTGTAATAGCAGGTTTTCGCAACTTTGCTGGGACAAATTGCCCTAATCACCTTAACGACAAAATGAACTTCACAAATATTTATGACAACTGATTGCTTTCATTCTAGAGTTTCAGCCAATGTGCTTATTTGCCATTTAAAATAAGTATCTCAGTTACCAAGCTGTAAATATCTTCTACCTCAGCTCCTGTGTTTAGTTTCTAAATACGACACCTCCTATACACACCAGCACAAGGAACAGGGCCTATTAAAAGTTGTCTTCAGATGTCAAAGGAGACTCTTCGAGAGCATTTCCAAGTACCCTAGTGAGGTTTTTTTGAGACAAATTGACCCACTCATTTCTTACTTAATAAAAATCAGCATTTTTCATGGCATTGGTTGAGAAGTAAAGCTTCTAGAACTAAAGAGAGGAGTAAAGGTGATACAACTTACAGATTGGAGTTACTAAACTGGAGTAAGTTTAGTCCTGTGCAGAAAAGCAGGCATGGATGTCTTAGGAGCTCTGAATTAGTAGGGATAGTATAGCAGGAGTCTGAGTGATAATCAAGTACCCTGTCGGTCCCTTACACACAGGTAAATTTCATTATAGGATTGTATATAAAGGTTCAAATATGCCTCTGTGTACATGACGTACACTAGACCCTCTACATTATTTAATCCTGTCCTCTCTGCCCGCCGCGTTCAAATGGTCCTGACCCTTATTTGAGGAGTCTGCCTTGGGAGGAATTTGTGTGTGCTTGCATGCATGTACAACTCATGGTGTGTGTATAAATGTGAATGTCTTAATATTTATATATAGCTGTGTGTATGTATAGGGAGGCAAAAAGATAAGTAGGTAGATAGAAAGCAAGAAAGAAATTCTCGCTCCACCAAACCAAATACCACAGGAAAATCCCAGGGAGCTTTACTAAAATCACAGTTTCCCTCCTTGTTATTCATACAGTTTTCTGTGCCTTAATGAAATGAAAAATGGTGTCAGACACCTGAAGTCCTTCCACGTGTAGTGGTTAACCGAAGCTGGTTTGCAGTGTCATGTACAACATGCCCCAGAGTGCCTCCTGTAAAGCAAAGAGCTAGAATGTTGTTTAGCTGCATTGGGTGATCACTCGAGACCTGAGGACCTGTGTCAGTGCACTGTACTGAAAGTCATGACAAGCCTGCAAAATGATTGGCCCCATTTGTTGCCATCATAAGCTGACACGACTCCACTGAGGTTGTGGAAATTTCACCAGTACGTACCTACACAACATTTATTTGGCCCTTTACTTACCCGGTTTGAATCACATTTTTGGCCATCTAAGAACATTATTACTGTTTCAATCATCTTTCTCCCTTGAATAAAGGCAGTTACACAGCTGGGGAGCCAAGCTGAACATTTTCTTGACATGCATGCCAGATCATAGTAGAGGTCTCTCAAGAACCGCAAACAATGCTCTGGCTTATATGTGTCTTACATGTCAGTAGCCTAAAACCTCATGTAGCACTAACAGTGAATGAAATTTGGAGCCAAGGACTTTTCTCACACACAGTTTGTGTACTCAGGCTTTGATTCAGTGAAACATAGAAGCTCATCTGCACATTTAAACTTCTGCACATTTAGCTACTCCTGTTGACTCAGATTTTAATGTCCGTGACTTTACAAGCCTGAATTTAAATGCTTTTTCTCCCCTGAACTTTAATGGCTCTAAACTAATTGTCATTAAGTACTTTTTATTCACTTAACAAGTGTTGCTATAGGAGAGACAATATGGAGAAGTGCACTCTTTATTCCCTATCTTACGGATCTTTGCTTAGAATTTTGATATGGGTACAATTATTTCATAGTTTTTTCTGCTTCACCTGCTAATATGCGTTGTTGAGAAGCTTAAATACTTTCATTAGTTTCTTTGATCGTATCAGCAAGGGCCTTTTTGTTACTCTGAAATCCGTACTTCTATCAAAACCGTGCCGCCGTAGTTCTTGTTTGCAGTTTGCTTCTGAACAGAGCTTCAAAGGTCTAGAGGGGGAATTAAACTCTTTGAATGCAAAATAAAATTAAACAGTGCATATTCAATGTAATAAAATGCATACCAGAGACTAGTACCCAGAAGACATTGCGATGTAGGCTTTGTATTCCTGGCCAAAGCAGAGGTATTTTTGCAGTGGGTTTTTGTGTTTTGTTCTGGGAACTTCCTCTACTGAATCATGGAATGGTTTGGGTTGGAAGGGACCTTAAAGACCATCTAGTTCCAACCCCCCTGCCATGGGCAGGGACACCTTCCACTAGACCAGGTTGCTCCAAGCCTCATCCAGCCTGGCCTTGGATACTTCCAGGGATGGGGCATCCACAGCTTCTCTGGGCAACCTGTGCCAGTGCCTCCTCACCCTCTCCGGGAAGAACTTCTTCCTGATATCCAATCTAACCCTCCCCACTTTCAATTTAAACCCGTTCCCCCTTGTCCTGTCACTACAGGCCCTTGTAAAAAGTCCTCTCCCAGCTTCCTTGTAGCCCCTTCAGGTACTGGAAGGTGCTATAAGGTCTCCCCGGAGCCTTCTCTTCTCCAGGCTGAACAAGCCCAACTCTCTCAGCCTGTCCCCATAGCAGAGCGGCTCCAGCCCTCTGAGCATCTTCGTGGCCTCCGCTGGACTCGCTCCAACCAGTCTATATCCTTCAGATGTTGAGGGCCCCATTTGCTTTGACAAAATTCCTGACTTGTAACCTCGTCCAGGAGAAAACCAAACTTCAAAAAAAGGAGAGACAGGTCAGTAATCTGACAAAAAGAAGCTTTTCCATAATGTGGAGGGAGGATCCTCTAAGTTGAGTGTTTTTCATGCAGAGCTTCAGCTCAACACTCAGCTTGGGAGTATTTCCACCTCTTTCATTTGCGAAGGCTTTGACTGCAGACTTGACCTCAGGGAGAAATGTGCTCATTAATAAGAATTTTCAGGACTTTGCCCTAGAATAAAAGTCATGTCAGATTTTTCTCCAAATTAGCTGTAACAAGTGAAATTGTAAGTAACCCTGTGTTCTAGGTTAGTAATGCTTTGTGCACTACTGTCTCGTCCCATTGACTTTTCTAGTCTCTGTTTCTTTGGGCTTTGGTTAATCTTTAAGCACCATCCTTACAGGATATGTTGGGGAAGAAGAATCTTTTAGATTTTTTTCTTCTGGGAACTGAAGTAAACATCCTAAATTTGTGTGCTGAACAGCAGCTACTACCTGTTATTACAGAAAGCCCCAACTTAGCTACTTGTGGACACAAGTAGTAGGCTTAAGCAAGTCTGCTGTGTTCATTCTAATCGTTTGGTTGTGTCTGACTTTTAAGAGGGATGTACAGGAGAGAGGGAAGATGCTGCACAATTACGTCTTCCTGAAGTCTGCTTGAAATGAATTGAATTGCTCTGTGTTTCCTTTTGGGTAGCATTGACTGTGCTGGGATATTAAAGCTTAGAAACTCTGACATCGAGCTGCGCAAGGGAGAGACGGACATCGGTCGGAAGAACACGCGTGTGCGCCTGGTCTTCAGGGTTCATATCCCACAGGCCAATGGCAGGACCCTCTCCTTGCAAGTAGCCTCTAACCCCATCGAGTGCTGTAAGTAGCGACAAACATCCTTGTCTTGCTGAGTGTTGTGCCACCCCCACACGCAGTCTTTGTCCACCGACACACTATACGTTGGTTTTACTTTACCTGTCTAGTCGGTGAACCTTAATCTGCTTTCCAAAAACACATGGTTTATACTGAAGACAAAATACCTGAGTCTTAGAAAAAAAAATTGTGGTTTTGTGTATTGATTTCTGTAGGAAAGAACACGCTTAATACAGAAGTAAAGTGCATTTAAACTAATAGTATACCTGGGAGTGACAAGACTTTTTTTTGCTGACTCCCTATCATACAGGTAACTGCTGTAGGAGTTTTGGAAAACACCTATCATGTCCTGTTCACTCTCGTGTCTCCTCATCTCCTCATCAAAACCCCAACCCCTTTGATGAGGAGATAGCAGTATACTAGAGCTGATGTGCTGACACAAGCTGCTTGCGGCTTCAGAAAACCTCCAGAAACCAGGTTTCCATGCTGGGGTCCCTTTGATTGAACAGACTGCTTTTTATCAGATACACTGGGACACTCTCCAAAGACACTTTATATCGTTCTTGCTCTGTATAGCTTCATCAGCTTCCCACACACACAAAAAAGCCGATCTGGTTTGTGTAGCTTTAACACTCTGGCATAAGTGGTGAAAATTGAATTTTAGTCTAACGCTCAATGCTAATTTGGTTGGCTGGATGGACTGAAACAGTTTTTTAAGATTTTGTTGGATTCCACAAAGTGGATCTTTCTGATACTGACAAGGTAGGGTTTAACTTAACATCTGGTGGATGTGGGGGGTGAGCTCTGAGGGTGGGGAGCAGGGGGAATGAGGAGGAAGGCTTGACCATCCCTAGGTCCATGTATGCTGGAGGTTCATGTCCGCGCTTGTCCCTTTGTCACTGCCAGTCTGAAGTCACACAGCGCCATGTCTGGCAGGTCTTGGATTGTGTCAGCATCTGATCCCTTGGAGGCATGGTGCGTTTTCAGGAATCAGAGAGACTGCAGGAAAAAGCATCCCTGCATTCCTCTTACAAAAGCAGTGGCATTGGTGACAGACTTTCAGCCCAGTGACAGTACTCCATCCTTTTGCCTAGGGTAGCAGTGCTGCTGCTCTGGTAGTCTGAGTCTGCAAGAGAGGCAGGAGCTGTAGAAAGGGGTAGTGCTGTTGGATCAACAGTGACAGCTTCTCTCCTTCACTGTCATTCATTTAAATAGACAAATGAGCATTGGCAGTGGGAAGGGAGTTCAATTAAGGTAAGCCTTTGTATTTTATGAAGAATAGCAGAGCCTTCTTACCTGTAGCAGGTAGACTGGCATAAAGCTCTGTCTTCTGTCTCGGATATGTATGAGGTGCATAATTTCCCCTTTGTTTCTTATTCAAGGGAAAGTTCTAGACTAACAGTCAAAGCAAAAAATGTGAGGAGTTGGGGTTTCATCCTGCTTCTCTTGAAGTTGATGAGAGCAGAAAACAGGAGAAAAAATAAGTGCTAGTGTTATTTCCAGTGCAGAATGTGGAATAAGCTGGTGCCAAAAACTTCATGCATCTGTTAGTGCATGTGACACCAGGAGGAACCCTATAATCTGGATAAAATGTTACGTCATCCCTTGAAGCACAGCCACGCTTGCTCTGTATCTCAGTTGGGAGGAATAAAATACATGCCACGAGAATACCGGATTCTGTTTGCGTGGATGCACGTGTGCTTTGGCATTCAGGTTCTGGTGGAAATACTCTTTCTAAACTGTGAGCTTCTGCTGGATCGCAAGGCTCATGGGTGCTGCTGCTAGACGGTTTGCAGAACTGACAATACAGTGTATAGAGACTGAAACACATTCTAGACATGGATGGTCGTCTTGTCATATGTGCCTGATAAACACATGGCATATGTGTTATAGAAAACATAAGAGAAAATTATTTAAAATAAAGGAATGTCAATAAAAATACCCAGATGTGGGCATTTTGAATCTGTACTGCTATGTTTGATAACCCTGTTGTTCATGATCACGCTGCTTGAAAACCAACCACGTTTCCTGCAAACCTTCTGACCTTTCTTTGGTTCTGTATCAAACTCAGCTCATCTTATGAGGATAAGCATTGTTACTTATGAATGCAGTACTTACTTACTTTTCTGTATGTGGTTGCCATTTTTTTTTTTTTTAATCTTTTTTGTAACTTTGCAGCTCAGAGATCTGCCCAAGAACTGCCTTTGGTGGAGAAGCAAAGTACCGACAGCTTTCCTGTTATTGGAGGGAAAAAAATGATACTGACTGGCCATAACTTTTTGCAAGACTCCAAAGTCATCTTTGTGGAGAAAGCACCAGGTATGTCTTTACAATCTGGACTCCGGTCTGCCTTTCTTCCCCTGTTTTAAAATCTCTGACAAATGATGAAAGCATAAATGCGGTAATGACATTTTCTTCTGCACCTAATATGTTTTCCATGTCCTTGGGCAAAGCTGTGAAAGTGATCTGAGCCGTGCCTAATGCTGAGGTTTCACACTGTGGCAGGTGTAGTTACAGGTAGACAATCACAACATTGAAAGTCAACATTTGGCATTTGTTTTTGTAGCAAACTGTGGCTGTACTGGGTGGGACCTGTAAAAGGTGTTCGGACCCTCTGGTGGCATGTTCCCGTAAAACTGGATGATGGTGCATCTTGTCAAACCTTTCTGGAATTGGTGAAAGAGGGAGCAGTGCTGCTGGTGGCGTGGGTGCGCACCTGCGTCTCCTTCTGTGGCAGCTGAGACCTGTGGCATTTACAAGCTGCTGTCTGAGGAGGACTTGCAGCGCACATGCGTTCGTTTGAAGGACGTGCTTCTGGTTTACCTTGAAAACTGGGGGAGGACAGAACACGGCTGCCCTCTCACCCGGCGCTGCTCCTGCAGTGCATTGGTGGTGGGACTGGTCCTGGGGAAGGGTCCTGGGCTGGGCTGAAGCAGAGCAAGCAGCGTGGGTTGGGAGCTGGGGCTGGAGCAGGAGGTGTCTGCCGGAGCAGTGGGGTGTCTGCAGGAGTGGTGGGTCACAGGGTGACAATGCATAACACGTGCAAATGCCCCCATGGGAAAAGGCACTGGGGAATGGAGCTGTGAGTCAAAGTCAGGCTCTGAAATGAGATCGTTAAGGATAGTTTTGAATCTTGTTTTGGAAAGGGTTTCCGTGGCACTGGCACAAGCCACGGATTCCTCAGCTGCCAGCTGAAACCCCCCACTGAACTTTAAACAGTCTTAGGCACTCCTCAGGCCGCCAGCGCTGGCTTTGACACTGGCCTATTTAACCCTCCGTGTCCACTAGGTTCCTGCGCTCTTCTCCAGCCTGTGGCTCCTGCCAGCACCTCAGGAAGCTGAGCTGTGGGAAGGGGTGGTGGGGCGAGCAGGGGAGGCTCTGGAGGCGAAGACATCTGAGTCTTCTGGCTTAGGGGGGAGCGGGGAAGACTTCCTGAAGTTCCCCGGCAGAGCCCTGGCTTGGTGAGGTTTAAGTCACCAGAACTGCGTAACACCCTGGCTTCTGGGCTTCCTGGCTTCTTTCTTACAAAAGCTTAAAAAAAAAAAAGGAAAAAATGTGGTATTGCAATTAAAAAAGCTGAACTTTGCATAGCATGAGGGGAGGGACAAACATGACTGCTCCTTTGCTGCACAGAAGTAGGTTAGTGTGACATGTTAGGAGTAAAGTCCTTGATCTGTCTCATTACAGGAAGGAAAACACTTCAAAGGGTGCTTTCCTTCATACTTATTTTCCCTCCTCTTCCTATATTGAGCTGGACAAATTTTGAAGTATTGCATCTCAAAGGGATGTGCTGGTGATGCTGCTTGCCCAGCAGC